ATAATATATACATATATATGTATATGTAGTGAGTATTTACAATAATTATGTATGAAACAAATTTGTTCAGCTGCTAGGATTATTAGGAAGCATGAAGGGGATGACATCAAGTTCAGTGGCATCAGAATGTGTATTGAAACTATACGAAGAAGGAGAAATATCCATCATCAACAAGACTCAACCACAGCAATTCTCCCAATTTGCAGCTCATTTCGTCACCGACACCGATCAGATGCAAGCTTGTAACTTTGCTAATTTCGTTCCTTTCGGAGAATCCACGCCTCTTCAGGTAAACTCAAAAATATAATTTATTTATCTTGTGATTCAAACATTAGTCGAACTTATTATCTCGTAGACGTAGAATAACCGAAACGAATCAAACGACATATTTATCTACCAAGTTGGTTGATCGGTTCGACTAATATCTAAACCGCTAAATAACAAATAAACGAGGAAATGATAGTAAGGTTTTGAAATCGGGTTGAAACTGAAACAACTTGTTCTTATTATATAGCAAGCAGAGTGGATAAAATTCTTGGGAGCTTTCACAAATCTTGAAGCCAGAGCCAATCAAGTTTATGATGCAGTGAGTAATTAGACTTAAAAAAGTAATTAACCCAACATTAATTAAGTAGTTAAAACATTTAATTATTATATAATTTTGCAGGTTAAACAGAATTACTTGTGTTTGGCACAAGTAGCTGCTAAGAAGACAAAATCCTTTAAACCCATTGTAGCATGGATGGAGTTTTATGATGTGAGTACACCATTATATTATAATTATAATAATCTAAATTATTTTATTTGCAATTAAAAAATATTAATTATAATATGTTTGGTTTCAAAATAAATTAATTTTATTTTAATTTTACAGGGTATGTGGTCTTTTACCAAAGAAACTTACAAGTTGAAGGTAATAAGATTAATTAATTTTGAATTTAATTTAATTTATTATATATATAAGTAATTTAAAATTAAGATATTAAATTTTTTTTTTCTTTTAATTTTTGAACTTGAAAAAAGTATGTGGAAGATGCTGGTGGAGAAAACATCGATGCATCCATCAACAAAATCACTTACAATGTCTCTAATCCAGACGATTTGGATTCATTACATGCCATTCTCTGTGTAAGTCCTTACATATATATATATATATATATATATATACATACTACAATTATATACGTACCAAATTATATAAATCATACCAAATTATAATTACTATCAAATTGAATTAAATTTTAATAAATTTATTATATTTATAAATAAAAAAATATTTTATAACGATTAAAATTTTTAATTAGAATAATCGTAACGAGTTAAGTATATATTTTTAATTAAAAAATAAAATAATATTTTTATATGAATTAATTATTAACATAAATAATTTTTTAAAAATAAATATTAAAATATATATGAACTCTTGTAGAATTAATTATATATTAAATTCAAAATGGTCCAATTGTACGTATCACACGATCGTAAAATTCAATTCAAAATTCGAGCGCCGAGGATCAGGTTGGGGTGACACGTGTCAACAACCCATTAGCTTATCTATGACGGCATTTTGCACATCCGAACTACCTAATCATTACCCGTTCCAAAGAAACCGGTAGTTACCCTCCTGCCATCAAACACACCGAGATGCCCGGTTCTGAATCGTTTTTTCTCTACCACCAAAATGAAATCTTTTTCTGAAACAGATAATAAGTTCCCCAAAAATGGAAAAAGAATGTATTAAAAAATAGAAAAAAAAAAAAAGAAAAGAAAAGGAATTGGAATGTTGAGTTAATTTTGAAATTCTCTAGAATTTGAAGTCTTAAAAAATTAATCTTGTCGCTATATTCTCTTTCTCGCTGGAGGAGGGTGTAGTGGTGATTGAGATGAACTCCAAAGGAGCGATCAGCTCTGATGGGACATCCAATTCTTCATCTTCTTCCGCCAAGAAAAATTCCAAGAAACCCAGATGTCAGTTTTTCTTACTCGTTATATGATGATTCAGATTATTTGGAATCATTTGCTTTAATTGTGTTTCAGACCTTTTCTGGTTAACAATCAATTGCCATTTTGATTGAATCTGTTTGGAGATAGATGTGATCATACTTTTTTTGCAGAATTTTCGTCTTCTTTACGTTAAATTTCAATGATTTTCACATGGGTTTGATTTGTGGGTTTTGTTATGTTGAATTTCAATAATTTCCAACATGGGTTTCATGGGTTTTGAATCGATTCATTGTCTTCATAAAATTATTGCAATTAGGAATAATGTGTGAATTTGGATTAGCAATGGGGAAGGGTTTGCTGGATTTAGATGTTCTTCTTCAAGCATTTTCTTTGTGTATGAATTATAATATTTTCCTTTTATGATGATAGAAAGTTTGTGATTTGGCGCAGAAAAAGCAGAATACTCTATATAGCATTAGAAAAAGTACCAACATAATACGAATTCAGGAATACGAATACGGAATAGTAACAACAACATACTAAGACGAGGGTGAAGTAGTAGCTAATCACTAATAAAAGAAGGGGGAAGAGAAGATAAAAAAAAGTGAGAGTTTCAGGCAAGATTCGTAATGTTTGCTTTCCAACTCGCTTGATTGAATTTCTTGGCTGCAGATTCTAGGTTTACCCAGCAAGAGCTTCCTGCTTGTAAACCAATTCTAACGCCAGGACTGGTAAATTCCTGCTTTATATTCTTGAATTTTGCTTATGTCCTTTCAACTTCTTTTTGGTTTGATTCCCTTCTAATTGTCTGCATCAATTTCCTCTTATCAATATGTTTAATGGGTTTTAGGTCATTTCGGCTTTCATGGTCGTTGGCTTTGTCTTCATCCCAATTGGCCTCATATCGTTGTTTGCATCAGAGAAGGTACCATGATGATTATATTAACATCCCATGAGAATTTTCTACTTAGAAAGTTATTTGATACTCAATAAGAACATGTTGGCTATGTTCGGTTTAATTTCTAGTCTGCGGCGGTTTTGAGTTAATAAATGAAATGTTCTTGATTTGTGGAATTTGATTATAGTTTCATATTCATTTCAGAATCAGTTCAATTGCTTGAATCTTGAATTCCTTCAAGATGAATTTCTGATTCATGTTTTAGTAGAATAGAAAGTTCACATACCCATCTATTGAGAATAGAACTAAAATTTTACTATACTCATTCCTGTCTTACCTCATTTCTACTGTATCTATATGTAAATATATATATATATATATATCATAAAAGTAACATCTTTAAACCAATTAGGTGGTGGAAATCGTGGATCGGTACGATGAAGCATGCGTTCCTCCTACTCACTCCAAAGATATGGTTGAATACATCCAAAACGGTGACATAGACAAGACCTGTACCCGTAGTTTGATTGTGAGTTCAATCCCTTGTTTATAGCTGGATATGATATTTTTAATGTGTTGGAAAAACTTTGGAATTTCTCTTATTTCTTGTCGTTCTTTTGTATGCCAGGGTAACATTTTTCTTTTTCTAAGGTGTATTAATTCCATAATTTTCAGGTCCCAAGACAAATGAAAAGTCCTGTGTTTATCTACTATCAACTTGACAATTTCTACCAAAATCATCGACGGTATGTAGGGATATCTTTGTTTATCGATGATATGATTTCTGTATATTTTGTTGGGCCATGTGAGATCAATTTGATTTGCCTTTAAGAAGAGTTTATACATTGCAAGATTCATTTGGAGATTTCAATCTGTGTTACTTCCAAATCCTGTGTTGTTTGAGAAATTTTGCTTCAGAAGATCAATTTTCTGGTAGTCTTTTTCTTTCCATTTACTTTAATCTGTAATTTAACATGTGAAGAATTCTTGCAGATACGTTAAGAATCGAAGTGACAAGCAGTTACGAAGCAAGGCAGAGGAAGCAAACACGGAACAGTGTAAACCTGAAGACAGTGATGGTGGTTCCCCAATTGTTCCTTGTGGCCTAATTGCTTGGAGTTTGTTCAACGACACATACGGGTTCTCGATAAACGATAAGGCACTAGAAGTCAACAAAAAGAACATAGCATGGGCAAGTGACAAAAAGCACAAATTCGGGTCTGATGTCTTTCCTAAAAATTTCCAAACTGGAGGTCTCACCGGAGGTGGAAAACTTAATTCTAGCATACCTGTAAGATTATTTTAACTTCTGTTAATGCTTGTTATGGTTCAATAAGTTTCTCCTTTAAATTTCCTTTTTGCGTATCAATTTATTTTTTTGACTCTCATCACTGATTTCGTATAACAGTTGAGTGAACAAGAAGATTTAATTGTTTGGATGCGGACAGCTGCACTGCCAAAGTTCAGAAAACTTTATGGGAGAATTGAGAAGGACCTTCATGCTAACGATAAGCTTGAAATCGTGATACATAATAATTACAACACGTATAGTTTTGGAGGCAAAAAAACACTTGTTCTCTCAACCACGACTTGGATAGGTGGAAAAAATGATTTTCTGGGTGTAGCGTATCTGACAATTGGAGGTCTATGCTTGTTCTTGGCAACATGCTTCATACTGGTGTATGTTGTGAAGCCAAGGTGAGCAGATTTTGAGGTTCTAACTGATTAGTGCTAGAATTCACTAAACGAAGATAGGTCTCATCTCCATTTCTACCATCAAGAAATCTTTTTCAAGACTATTTAAACGATGACATTGGGATATATGCTTGTTATCTGCAATGTGTTTAAGATAGCTTTTTGTTTTGTTTACAGGCCACTTGGGGATCCATCCTACTTGTCTTGGAACAGAAATCCACCGGGAAATCAAAATTAGGACGGTTTTGTACAAATGTTCCAGTCAACTCGACAGTTTATTGAGCAAACTTTTCGTCATCTCTCTTGGATGCAAATTTACATCAGAAGTTGATGCTTGCTTTTGTCTTCAAAGGTCCAACTTAGTACCTTTTTCTTTTTTCTCTTTTACATATTTTTTGGCAAGAAATATCTTCCCAATTATGATTTCTTAGGCTGAGTTTTGATATTTCCTTTTTTTCCCTTTAATTTTGGAATCATGATAGTATACACAGTCTATTTAGATGATCAAATGCTTACGAGAAATATAAAATTTAGTTTCTATAACAATCCAAGTATTCCTTGTTCTATCTTCCTGAATCCCAGTTTCTTAAAGCTCATTGTTCTGCTTTACAGTGTGCTAATGTTGCCTGAGAATGATGTTATATTAACTGATATTGATTCTGGAATCCTGAAAGAAGTGCTCAATTTCCATTAATGGCAGTATTGATGGATGGGATGATCCTTGAAGGAAAGAACATGTACCACAAATGGCATGCTTTATTATATACAAGTTTAGTCTCACATATTGAAGAATGGTTGATCTGTATCATATTATGTTGATATATTTATTTGAAAAACAATTACTTGATGAAGTTGGGAACTGAATCTCGGAGTAAGCCTGGGAATAGATGCGGCAGTCAGGCAGTTTGAATTGCGTGAGAGGTATCATGTTGTAGAAGTTTTAAGCACCAAATAACCTGGATAGTATAAATCAGATGTTACGAATAGGTTGTGCTAGATGGGTTTATGCAGAATCTGTGATATAAGCAAACCGAAATTGTTGTTCTACCTCTGCAATTTTGACTGGGTACGTCTTCCACTGCACAGGAGAAATTATATGTGAGCTAGAATTAGAATTGAAGAAAATGAATAGAAACTGAACCAATTATGAGTTTAATATAACATTTCTTTATTTCAAATTATGTAACTCTTAATAATTCAAACTCAGATTATATGGAGTAATTGGCCTGAGACCCTTGTGTAGAGAACTAACTAACATACCTTAATGTTGGTTGTGGCTTCGGAGGAGGAGGTGGTGGTAGTGGTACTGGTTGAACTTCATCCCGAGCAATTGGTACATTCTTTACCTATAAGGAAATATATCGGAAGTAAGCATAACCCAAAATTCGATTTAGAATGTGTATTTTTGCAAAAACGAATTGTAGAACAACAATATACCAGTTTTCTGAATTGTAGACTATAGAATGATTGGATGTATCTTTGCTTTGCTTGTTTTTGGGTCTTATTCAATTGCCTCCAAAATGTATAGATACAGCCCATATTGAGCACCTTGTTGGCATATATCTTCCAAGTGTAGCTGCAAAACAGGGCAAAAATACACATTTTATATAATGAATCAGTTGGGTATTTCAACTAGAGTTTGACCTGTGAAATTACCATTCGTTGATACGTGTAAGACCTTCTGTAGAAAACTTGTTCCAGTATCCTACATCCGCTTTGCACTTCTCGAAGAAATCTGCGATTTTGTTACTTGATTCATCGCCATTGTTCGGATCAATATGGAAACCAGAGATGCCATCAACAACTATTTCTGCTGGACCTCCCTGATTAGTTGCAAAAGTTGGTAATCCACAGTTCATTGCTTCTATGATTGTAAGACCAAATGCTTCATACAATGCAGGCTGTACAAAAGCTCCTTTGGTATCAGCAATACATCGGTAGATTTCTCCATTACGCTGCCTATCAGTTTGAGCTGCTATCCATCTAATCTGACCCTTTAGTTGATATTTCTCTATCAGGAAATGCATCTTCTTGATTTCAGCCATTTCTTCTCTGTCTTTTGATTTAGATGGATCGAAAAAGGCTCCAACTATAACAAGATTAACCAAACTTCTTAGCCTTTTGTTCTTTCCGAACCACTCGGTTAATCCAGTTAGGTTTTTCACAACATCGAGCCTTGCCATTGAGAATATAATCGGCTTCTTTTTGTCTGCCAGATATCCACTGTTTTCGACAACATTGAAAAGATGTTATCAGTTGTTCTTAGCTGTTCAATATAAGATCATGTGCTAATTCTATTCTTCAAACTTACATATGTTCGTCATTGTCTTCTTTACTATACAGGAGTTCTTCAATGGCAGGGTGGAACGATGTGAGACGTCTCTGCTTCTCGAAATAAGGGAAGTAAATAGATTGGTCAGCACCCGGAGAAGCAATATTGAATTTAGGATCGAAAACATTGATGCCCGAAACAACTCTGCACAGCCCGGGAAGGCTAAACGCAACATGACTTTCGTATTGTCCAGGCTTCTGTTTGCTGCAAAAACAAATACATATAACCCGAAAGAATGAGTATGTTTATCATAGGTAACTATATACATGAAGAAATAGAATCCATTCTGATACTACGTTAAATTCTAATCTAAAACTATATGGTTATCGTTAGAATTACTCGATAGATGCAAGTCAAAAAAGATTTTGAACTTCTAACCTTCCAACGATTTCCTGGTATGTGCTTGTAATGATAAAGTCGGTGGCATTCATGGATATCGTATCAGCTAAGAACTGGCAAGAGAAGTGGTATTTAGGATCAAGTTCCTTCCATTTGATGTCTGAATCTTCATACTTTGTCTTCTCCAAAGCATGAGCAATTGTTGCCTAATTGTAAATATACATATATATAATATTAGCAAAAGGGTTAGGACAACATGAGAAGTTATAGTAATTGATTATGAAAGTACGATACCTGAGTTATGCCAAGTTTACTGGCCATAAGAGAAGCCACTAAATTCCCATCTGTATAGTTCCCAATTATAAGATCTGGTTTTCCTTCCAAAACATCCAAGATCTTGGTTGTAGCATCCTAGTTACGATTGATATATATATATGTATATACGGACAAAAGTTTTAGTAGGAAGATACCCGTATCTTGGAATAAAGCATGTAAAAGTTAATCTAATGGAAATAGAGTTCTATAATAAGAGAGTAATAGGTCGATATTCTTTTGAAAGAGATTTATTAGATACCTGTGCAAACCTCTCAAGATAGGGATAGATGTCGAAACGGGAAACCCATCTGCGTAGGACTCCATTTTCGGTCTTGAAGGGTATCCTAAGGATGTTAGAATATTTGGTTCCGGTGACTGCTTCGAACTCTTGGTTACACTTTGTTCCTTTAGCATCAGGAATTAGTCTTGTTACCTAAATTGTAGGGAAGAGCTTAGTAATTACACTCGAAGATCATTTCGTGTTTTGGTTAGAAAATGATTAATACTGGCATATACAAGAAACTTACCACAAGAATTTGAGGCTTCACGTTCAGTCCCCGAGACTTAATTCTCAATACCAATTCCTCTTCCATGGCCTTCACTTGATCCAAAATGTAAACAACCTGTTTTGGGTATTACCCAGAGATCAAATAACTCAATAATATATATCTGTATATATATAAGCGGATCCTATCATGTGCAAGTTAAGCTTCAAACATGGATTCATGTATGAACCGATCATACAAAATTTTAACTTTCAACAAATACGTAGCTGGTTGGGATTGAAAAGTTACTGAGAAAATTGAAAGATAGGTTAACCTGTCCGCCAGTGTCTGGCAAGCCAAGGACATCTGATTGCCCAAAGTAACCATGAGGAGAGAAAATCACCACACTGAAAATCAGTGGAAGTTTACTCAAGAAATTTTTCATGTTCATCGGATCCGGTGCTTGTAGGGTTTCGGATAATGATCTCATTGTCTCCTTCACTCTTTCCGCAGTATCCCCCCATCCCTTCTCAAATCCCCACTCCTTCAACCTTCAATAACAAGATCAAATAAATCAGATATTACTTAATTAAACCCCAGATGGGATTAGGATATGACCATAGATATATTTAAGTAGGTGTAAGTACTTGCCTGAGTTCAAATTCTTGAAATGGGGTGTTCTTGGGAAGTCCTGAGAGGTAAACATCAGCAAATAAAAGAGCCATCTGAAGCTTTGCAGCTGTATCAAGTGTCTCATTTATCATAAGCTTCTGTTAAGTTAAGAACAAGTCAAAATCAGAAATGGTGTTTGATTTCGTAATAACTTGAATACACATACATATATCTATATAAGAAAATTTCTTCTTCTAGCTCCATACTTCTCCTTGATGATCCAATGACAGTAGATAATCAACAAGTGGCTGTGCATTCTCCAAGCCTCCACTTAGCTTTGCAGTTACGAACTTGGAAATGAAACTGAATCCATCTCCAATGGAGGAAGATATAGTCAAGCGAGGCATTGAGAAGTCAAATGCTCCAAAATCAACTTCCAATGAATTTTCATCTTTTGCCCTTTTAACATCAAAACGCAAAGTATGGTCTATCAAAACTCTAAATTAAAAGTATATACGATCAAATTCTAATCCATAAACATACTATATATAAAGTGATCCAATAGACATGTACCCTTCACGTAAAGGGTATTAACTTCCAGCACATAATAATCCGGTGATAGATAAAATATGATCCTATATATATACACGTATATATACCCCTCACGAGGAGACGATCTGGGTTTAACATCTTTTTTTAGATATTCAAGAACATCCTTTGATTATCGAAAAATATTAGTCATAACTTTTACATGAATAAACAGTTTTCAAAGAAACATTCGATTAATCAATGTATGTATGTACCAGTTTTCATCAATGATCTTCTCTTTGAGTTTCAAGTAGTCTGTAATTGTCAATGGCTCTACAGACAGATCATTGGAGTTAATATTAACATATTCCCAGTACCCTGGATTTGCTCTAATGGCAAAACCCACGTGAGGAGGAACAACAACAGCTTCCTACAAATTTACACCACTAAATTATTACTCTCTGAAAAATAATACAAGAATCCATCATGTATTTCAATTTCTTCTTTAAGAAATAATATTTTAAAGTATTCAGAAAGAGAATTTATAGAATTTAAACCTGAGTCAAGCACAAGATCTTGCCAATATCACCATCCAAGACACGGTTCCTCTCTTCTTCCTCCTCTATCACCATGTTCATTTCCTCCATTAATTGATGAAGCTTCATCAACCTTTTCCCACTTCCTGTGTACTTTGCAAAACACCTCTTCACATAATATCGACTCTGCCTTAGCGTCTCCGGCATACTTTCTGAAATAGACTCTGATCTCCTCAAACTCGGTGCAGATGCCATCGATGATTCTGAAATTTCACGCACACCCAATACAAGAAAAGAAGAGGGGTCAATATGTTAAGTCTGCTTTAGTTTTTTTATACAATGTGGACAGAGTTTGTGCAATTTATAGAGGCCTGGAGGTCTGATATATGCATGGTTAATAATATATTGTTTGGTTTGAAGTGATTTGTGAATAGATGATTCGGAGGGGGTGGTGCTTTTTTTTTTCTCTCTCTCTCTCTCTCTAGAAATGTAAGAAGAGGACAAAGAACATTCTTAATACAAATGAAAAAGCAAAGAATTTGTTTTACTTTTAAAATCTAAAAACATAATTGGTACAAAGAGATTCTTTTTTTTTAATTATATAATTTAATTAATAATTTTTATAAGATAATATATTTAAATATTTAATCTTTTTAAATTAAAATTTATTATATACACAATTTCGTAATAAAAATATATAAAACGAATAATTAATCGTGAAGTAGCAACCATATAATTAAGAACACGATACCGATGTCTCGTAATTTTTATTTTAACTATTAATTTTTTTTTTTGTGTTTGGAAAAAGCAATTATCATTTCTTGAATCAGACAAAGAAAACTAATGTGATTTTTTGTTATTTATGTGTCTATATACAAATATATATGTATGTATATACTATATACACAAGTGTGGGGAATCAAATATTCTTTCCTTTTGGTAAGGGTAATTGGAAAAGAATGAGAAAATTATAAGATAAATTAGGCATGTTCACCGTAACGGCAACTTTCTCTTTTTATTTTTACGTGTTTTCTGCCAAATTACTTAAATTAAAATATTAATTTAATCTTACTTCGATAGCAAAATAATAGTTATAAGTGTTTCGTTTTTTTTAATCTAATTAATTATAACGAGTTAAAAATATAATTTAATATAAACTAGTTCGATTTTAATTTCTCGTTTTGAAAAAGTAGAATTAGTGAATAATTGATTTTTTAATTAAAAAAAATTAATGTATTGTACTTTGTCTAATTACAAAAGATATATATTTATATTATATATATATATATATATATGCAGAGCCACTGCCTAATTTTAAAATGAAATATACATTTCTTCTAACGACAAAATATAATGTAACTTTGAAAAAATAATATATATATATATATTTATTTTAAATAGCAATTTAGAGAACAAAAAAAGGACTTATTAAAATAAGCCCATATTTTGGATTATATAAACTGGGCCAAACAAGGCCCAACTTTATAGGATTATAAGGCCACTTGGGCTTATAATATTAATTTATCTGGCATTTAAAAAATAATTTAATTCAATGTATAATACATATCATAAAAATTAAATAGTATTTTCATGAATTAAAACGCAAAGGGGAAAAAAAAAAAAGAAATAAAGAGCACAAATCCAGCGTACATCTGGCGCAACCTCAGCCGTTAATCGTCCGTGATTAATAAATAAATAAATAAAAGAAAAAAGAAAAGAAAAATCCAGCGTACACCTGACGCAACCTCAGCCGTAAAAGCAAAAAATGAAAAGAAAATTCGATAAATAAGCGAAGCTCTCCTCTGCGATTAGGGTTTTTGGGGGCGCTCGGCTTATAAATATCTTCCGTCTCGTATCTCTCTGCATAACCAGCCTCCGAGTCTTCTTTCCGGTACTTCTCTCGATATCAATTTCTTGTTTGTAGTTTCTCTCTTCCAATGTTTAGAGATTCGGAGTTAGGGTTTTGAGGGTTTTAAAGCGTCATATACTGATTACCTGCGCTCTCTATGAACAATGGGCGCTGTGTATGAGCTGACGCGATAGCGTCTTCCTTTCTGCAATTAGGGTTTAGGTATGGAGCGGCTTGGCCGTGTTCTTTTGCAGATTTGGATAAATCTCAAATTATTTTTTTTACTTTGTACTCTGTTCTGGTTTTAATTCAATTTTTTTTTTATTCTTTTGCGAAACTAAAATTTTTCGAAGATGGATGTGATGATTATTTCCCCAGATGATCGACGCTGATATTACTGTGCGATTTTCTTCTCTTTATAAAGAGAATCCAAGCCAGAACTCTGATCCATCTTCGTACTGTTTCTAGAATTAAGTTCATTTGATTTAAAGATGTTTTTTTTGTTTTGGTTAATTGGTGTTAGGGTTTTTCTGTGTTCTCATTACGTTTTCTTGAAATTTTCGATGGGTGTTTGGAAATTGAAATGCTGAGCCTTTCCCCAGATGATCGAAGTTGATATCATCTTTGCATTTTGTTATTATCAATCTCTCTTTTGGGGTTGATTTCAAAGCCAGATCTCTGATCATTCCAGAATTCCCATAGAAAATTTTTGAAATAAAGATTCATTCTTATTCTAGTATTAAGTGGTTCGTGTCTGTTATCTTTGTTTTTTTCAGTTAGAAAATTTGTCTAAAATGGTGGAGATGGATATGATGATTATTTCCCCAGATGAACGACGCTGAATATAATGTGCGAATTATTCTCTTTTGAGAATCCAAGCCAGGACTCTGATCTATCTCTAACTTAAATTTTTTAGCCATTCTTCTATGAAAAAATTGTTTTTACACGAGTACTTGCAAGACTCTAATTGGTTTCTTTGGTATCAATTTGATGAACAATTTCCTTTGATCACAACTATCAGAATTTCATTGAAAGTTATTTCCTTAATTGAACTTATAGAAGATTGAGAGTTCAATCCAATTTGGTACCTTTTCCAAAATCGTCTATGTTCAGTTCCGTCCACGGGGTGTTTTGCTTTATCTGGGTAGTACATTTGTACTTTTTAGTTATTGTGTTGGATGTGAAAGCAGATTTCTTGTGTGTTGCTGTATTGACATGCAATTACATCAGTTGGCTGCCATCAAGTGAATAACTAGTGTGAAAGCAGAGTTCCCTTGATTCTTATGTTATTTGTCATCATGTCATATCTTGTGACGAATTCATTGTTGTAAATGGAGTTGATAGTCATTGGTTCATGAAATATGGTTGGAACTTGAACCCATATTTATTTCCAGCTTTATGTATATATGCATACTTGCAGAAGTTACTAGTCTTTCTGAATATTGTCATGTTATGTGACTAGTTTTTTTTTTCTGGGAAACAATGCAAGATCCAAGAATGCTACCTTCTGAAGATGTACCAAAATCAAAACCTCGGAAGAGGAGCTCAGCAACTCCTAAAGCTTCTAAAGCTTCTAAAGCTTCTAATTTTCAAATACCCAGAAATGATATGCAAGATATACAACAGTTAAACGAGTCTACGGCAGTTAGAATGCCCAAAAAACCTACCAAGAAGAAAAATAAGAAAGAAGCTTCTCCTGTTTTCCAGCAAATGGAGAGATCAAATTCAGACTCATTGCCGGATTCTTCAACATCTGGAAATGAGTACCGGGCACTCAGGCGGAAGTATTTGTTGTTGGAGGAAGAAAGTTTTGGATTTGGGGAAAGAGTTGAAAGATGTTGAAGATGATGTTGGAGCTCTTGAAAAGGAGAAGCTGGCACTTCTTGACCAACTAGTTGTATTAGAGGGTCTGGTGGATCCATCAGAGATTCAATACCGTTAACTGTAAAGTTTTTTATTATCCAACTTACAGTTGTTTGTGAAAATACAGAATATAGTCTGGGAGTGTCGGATTCTCAACAGTTAATGTATCCAGATTATTAGGGTATAAATTGAGCTATTCAGCGCTCTTCTTTGATAATGGCATTCTTGCCAATACTAAGTAAAGATTTAGAGAGCCTGTCGAATCAGAGTATGATGGGTTAGTTATTGGTTCTTATTGAATTGTGTATTGTTGGATAGTCTATGTTTTTTGTTATATAAATTTTATGTATGTTTTAAAAAAAAAATAATGATTTTTATGTATGTTTCGAATATATATATATATATATATATATATATATTTTTTTAAAAAGGGCTTTTAGATTAATTTTTTTAAAAAAATTGTCTTTGATGACATATTTATTAATTTATATAATTTTATAATTTATTTATATTTTTATATATTTTAAAAAATTACTACCATTAGATTCTTTACAGATTTTTGTAGCTGGCTGATTTGCACTCCCTATCCTAAAAGCCTAAACCAGCCCTCACCACAAATCCCGCCAACTCTTCTCTTTACGCCGTTTTTTGCTGCCGGCGCCGGCACCGACACGGACACTGGACCTGAGATCGAGGTCATAACGACCAAGTGACAAGCTCATCTAATCGTGCGAGTATGTGATACGCTCTTGATTTAAATTCTATAATGCGATTTCCCGATCTCACCCCCATTTTTGTCTCCTACAACCAATAATCGTGTGTATACAGTTATATATGTATATATGTGCGTACAGGTCGATTCGAGTTGTTTTTCAAATTTTGTTATGGTGTTATCTAGAGTTTCTGATATTAATGCTTCGTTTTGATTTTTTGAGAGAGTTAGTGAAGTGAATTTTGGAATTTGATAGGTTATGTACCGGAATATTGGATTATGAAGAGATAAGGGGTGAATGGTGATTGGCAAGTGGGAGAATTTCAGGTTGTTGGTGTAAAATGAAGAATTTCTTCTTTTTTTTTTTATTTTTTGAACAAATAAAATTTCCCAAGTTTCAAAAATTTAAAGCCTGAATTCAATTATAAATTTACTTTTTTTGTTTGGAATGTGAAATATAAATCTGTACATGGGTTCCACCATTTTGCTCCCTGTAAAAGCCATTGCTTCCAAACATTACATTCCAGAGTTTTTGCAAGTTAATTGAGATCTGCTTTACAGTGTAGATGAACTTTATAGTGCTTCAAAGCTCATAGAAACTTTGATTTTTCTCTAATATTATGTCAGTTGTATCTTCATTAGCAGAAAATAACAGAAACCAAGAGAAGCAATGGCTGCAACCTTTGTTTTATCATCAATTAGTTCGAATTTAATCCATGTTGATTCCAGAAAAGGGAATCAAACATTGCCCAACTTATTTCTACACGTTAGACAAAGGATTGTATATCGATCTGCTGCAAAAAGAAATCAAATTGATCGTGTAAAACAGAAGAAAAATAGATTTTCTGTGCTTGCAGCAACTGAAGACTCGGCCAAGTCGAGAGAGTCTGAAGAAGCAATCCCTTCATGGGCAAGGCCTGACTCGGAGGAGCCTCCTCCTTGGGCTAGGGATGAAGCCAAGGCTTCGACATCAGAACAGGGCTTTGAATTTCCCTTCTATGTTTATTTACTCGCTTCGTCTGTGACTGCAATTGCTGCAGTATGCTTCTACCTTTTACTCTTTTTGCTCTTCTTGCGACTGCCAAAACAAGATGATTTACATGAACTTTATGACTGCAGGTAGGTTCTATATTTGAGTATGTCAACCAGAGGCCTGTTTTTGGGGTTTTGAGCTCCGACAGCATCTTCTATGCTCCATTGCTCGGATTCTTTGTCTTTACTGGTGTCCCTACCTCCGTAAGTTCCTCTCGTCTCCTGCAACTTTTGTAAGTTTTTTCTGATGTTGCTTTTGGTCTTGTGGGTATCCAGTAGTAGTCCCCATTATATATGGTTCCTGAATCAAGCAAGTCATGAATAACTAATGCCCCTGTTTGGTTTAAATCTATTCTCATTTGATTTTTTATTTTAATTGTTTAATATGTAAACTTTAGTTACAATTTATACGTTTGATTCATAACTAAACCAATTTTACTTGTATTTTTAATGTCAAACAGAAGACTTGTATCTTTATTTGTCAAGATAGAATTCACAAAAACAGCCTACTCCAATTAAATATAGAATTAACTTAGGATTAGAATATACTTTTCATTAAAATGGTCATCTTGTTTGTACTATATGCTTACTCCCATTCAATGTAATTGAAATTCCAACTAAGCGCAATTTAATGTTTAGGAAGGAAAAAAAAAACTCATATTGAACCTGTTTTATGTCAACTGCATATGTACAAACCTGAAAATTATTGAGTATGAAAAATTGTGATGGTTGATTTGTAACTCATCTTTAGCTAAGCTGACTTGTTTGCAGGCATTCCTGTGGTACAAATCCGTCCAAGTTGCTAACAAGGAAGCTGAGGAACAGGATAGAAGGGATGGCTATATGTAAAGTCAATCTCATCTTGACTTGCCCATCAAGGATTTTTTGTGTGGAATATGGGTTTAATTTTTCTTTCACTTGTTCATCCCTCACTAAGGTATAGTAACATACACAGTAAGGACGGCAATCAATATGAAACTAATACTCTCAAGAATCTCACTATAATTCAGGAGACTTTTCGGATTTGGTAGTTGATGTCTCCAACATATGATATAATAAATATCAATGGAGTATTTTTTGGAAGACCTGAACCCATTTGTTTGAAATATGGTTGTTGCTCATCATCTTCTGAAAGGAGTGTTGCCCAGGATCTGAGATTTTCAGGAGAACTAAGCTTTCTGCAAGTTCTGATGAGATTTTCAGTACAAAGATTGGATTGTCCAATTGTATGTTTGCTAATGAAAGGTCACTTCTTCCGTGAAACCTTATGCAGTCATGTATGTTTTAGTTAAGTGGCAAGCCAAGCAGGATTTCTTTTGTAGTTAGCAAAAATCGAAGATTTGGTATTCATCATATATTTTACCAAACGAATGAAGGTCAATAAATTTGACCTCTTTCTCTGATCAATTCCTCAATGCATTATTAGATCTCCTTACATTTTCTTTGTTGTCTATAACATGGATGACATGGTGAAGATCAAATGCAGAACACTTGCACTTGCAAGATACCGTAAATTCAAATGCAGAATGATTGTAAGGTATAAAGAATATTTTATAAATTACCCGGAGATCAAAACTTAAATCAGTTCAAGTAGTTGAAACACTTTGACAAGAGAAAGAATTGATTACTTCTGTACAATATGAAATGCAGTCGGAAAGAATATTCTTATACCTAAGCCTCCATCGCACTGCTAATTTCCACTTGTTCAATGACATTCTAGATTTTCCAGATAGAACAACCTTCGAGTCGTCTTTTCCATTCTGCAGGCTATTGGCCTCCAGGAAAGCACGCAACTCACCTCCAAACATGTCCAACTTTACCATCTCAATATGATTAGTAAAGTCTAGGACTACATCAATTCTTGAGAGTAACAAGCTGTCTTCTTCAATTGATGTCGGCAGATTCTTCAGAATTATAATACATTTCTCTAATATATATTTCATTACAGAAACCTCATTATCCACTGAGATTTGCTCTCCTGAATAAACAAGATGTCCTATGGATTTCCGCTGACTTACTGGAGTTGCCCATAACCGTAAAGCTGACAGTAGCGCAAAGGAGGGCTTACCATTTTGGTGGATGTACAGGGATTCCCTGGGCCATGAAATAGATGAGTACACACCAGGCTCCAAGTGAATAAAAGCCTTGTCATTCGGATTATCGTTCAAAAGAAATCCATAGTGTTCAAGAAGCTCCAGGTTTGTATATGTTCCATAGCTCAAAAGAACCTGCAGACAAAAAGGTGCCCTTTGTTACCTACATCTTGGTAAGGAGAATGCACAATCACGACTTAGATCAAGCAAAACCATTTGAGCAAAACATAAAGACAGGAAGATATGCAGTTACCTTCATAAGAAATTTGTCTAAGTTTGCGTCCAAACAAGACCTTGATTTTAGTGGCTTAATTATATAACTAACCATATTTAGCAATCAATATAAAAGGTGAATGTTATGTCCCTACTTGAGATCTTATTACAGGAGGTTGATTATTCGTATTCGAAGCTTGTTCAGAAAGAAGTCAATGATCTTATTACAGGTTCTTTATAAATTTTTCTCAAAGTTCTCTTTCCTTTCTGCAAAAAGAATTTTATTCTTATATAGCAGAAAACAACTGCATTTTTGGAGAAAAAAGGAAATAAGATTAAAAGGGAGCAAGTCATGTAACCAATATTCAGAATTACTAAGAGAAGACATCCAAAAGATCAATAATATCTACATCATCCAATAAGAAGACTAAAAAGTTCTAAACCAGTGATCCTTGATGGAAGCAGAAGGGGTAGAAGACCGATAAGAAGCTCCTTAGTTCCTCTTTTTTCAAGTGACCAAGAAATAGAAAGAAGAGTAACAGATTGGAAGATGCGGGAATGCTGCTCCAAGCCCATAGTTCATCCTTGATCAGAGCACTAATACTCCAAAAAAGATTAAGAAGGCCCAAAGCTGATCCCTACAATTTTTTAAGTTCCAGACAATAGAGAAGGATGTGGAGAGGAGACTCAGTCACTAAGGCATAGTAAGCACAGATTCAACAAGACATTGCTCCATTTTATGAGATCCTCAATAGGTAGTATTCTGCCTGACAGTGGCTCCTAAGTGAAAAAAGCAAAAATCCTGGGAATGGCCTTTCTTTCTCATATGTGCTCCTTGAAGGAACTTACCTAAATAACAGGACTTGACCGTGAAAGTACCCTTATTGATAAGTTCTAAACCAGCCTATTAGCCCTATCAAAATGAATGTATTTAGACTCCAAAATAAATAAGATATTCACTAATTCGTTAATCTCTCAGTCGTTTAGATCATAAAGGAGAGAAACATTTCATTGGATTCCACCACCGTACACTTCAAATAATTCTGCATTTTAGCCATCTTGGACCTCATAGCTAAGTAACTAGAAGAGAACTCATTACGAGGACAAGCAGAACATCAAGGATCATGCCAACATCTGACATGAATTCCATCACCAACTAAAATCCAGAAGTCAGAACGTCTCAATTATTGCTAATTTGCCTCCATGGACAAGGGTGCCTCTAACCAACTTGGGCCACTGACAACTATTGTGTTGTGTATCCTGTATTAGCCCTCACAAATTTTCACCAGAAAGTGCCCTTTCCAGAAGGAATATATATATATATATATATATATATATATATATATATAGTCATGTCAGCTGAGCTTTGTTGAAAGAGACCAACAACCTAATCCCAAAACCATCATACTTCAATGGTTGTTTTACATTACCCTACACAACCAAGTGGAATTTCCTCTGCTTATGTAAGTAATCTACAAGAGTTGGTGATGAATCACTTGAACACTTTTTTTGGGGATTATATCAAAGATGGTTAACAGAAAAAAGAAATAAATGGAGAACAAGGCACTTTTGATGAGCGTGAACCTACTCCCCATTGATCCACCCAACCTCTTCTCTTTTCTCGCCACAATAAAATTCCATTAGAACATATCCTTGACTTTAGCGCGAATGGGAGCTTCAAATATTTAATTGTGAATGTGCTGGTTTTGCAATCCAGAACATGGCTCATCAACGTATCAAACCCTTTTCTCATTTGCTATAATCACCCGTAACTCCACTTAAAGAAAGATGTGATGGAAGCATCTAAAAACAAGTAGGAACAGCAAAAATTGATAAAAATGATCACTGGATATTCTTCCTCAAACTAGTCAATCCACATTTTTTAGGATGAATGCACTCTTGTAATTGAATGGGAGAAATATTAAGTTCAATCAATGCCTTAGGAGAATTATCTAGGAGGTTGTATTCTCTGGTTTGTGGTTGATCTTTGCAAGTCCGTTTGCATCTACCTGCTTTTCTTCCCTATCAGCCTCTTTTTTGTCATCTCTAACCTCCACCCTGGTTTGCACTATACCACCTTCCTTTATCATGGCTTCCATCATCATCTTCTCTACCTGCAAAAATTTGTGTTTTTATTTTGAAAATTCAGGTCAACCCAGACCAAGTCGCAGGTCGATATCTTCTCTATTTTCATAGGAACCTTAACCACATGTGCATAGAATCTCTAATATTTCAGCTCATCACCTTTGACTATGTCCACTTAAAACCTCAATGACACTTTGTAAGAGGGGCAGCAAAACACACAGAACGTGGGGTGATCCTTCTACGGCATTGACAATAGGGATTCGAGGTGCACTATGGCCAAATGTCCAAGCAGTTCATTAACATCTTCTACACTTGCGCTTTAGTACCTTCGGAAAGGTAAATCATTTTGCGCCAAACATCATAGCAGTTCATTAATATCATCTCTGTTGACTTCGAGCACCAACCATAATATGTGGCTATCCTTCTTGAGACTCATTACCCATGAGCTAGGACCTTTCACACAAAAGAATTTGCATAAAGCTTTCGAAAGCCACTCAACTTCAGCTCCATCCAGGAAGATGGTAGCCCTGGTGCCTCTTCCATTTTCAGCAATAGTTTTTAAAAAAAAAAATAAAAAAGTAAGCTGTATATTAACAAGTACCAACAAAAACGGGGGTACCACCCATATACAAAAGATTTACAATATAGTAACTCAACAACATTTCTAAAATCCTCATCACAAATAATATCGTGACATAATAGGATAGACCCAAAAAAATTCAGCCATCTATTTTTTAGCCTAGAAAAATTGCATTTCTCACCCTCATAAGCTCTACTATTCCTTTCTTTCCATAAAACCCAAAAAACCGTTAAAGAGATCACATTAGCTAAATTATTTTTAACACAGAGACCATCACAAGCCCAAATCTCACCCATCACCGACCCAGCAATGACCCACTTAATGCCCAGAATTCCATGCACAAAGGTCCACAATCTGTAGGCAATAGGACACCAAAGAAGAAGGTGGTTGCAAGTTTCCTCCGCCTTCCAGTTATTCAAATTCCTCTTAAGGTTTATGGACCAAACAACCATCCCATTAGACTCTTGGTAGGCCTCCTCAACCAGCAAATTTTTATTCTGTGAGATTCTGAAAATATTAGGGAATCTTCCCTTTAGGTTGCCATCTCCTACCCAATTCTCTTCCCAGAAATTGATCAAATTCCCACGACCCAGCTTCCAGTTAATACATTGAAAAAGCTCAATTTTAGCATGAGAAATCTCCTCCACAGCCCTCTACCATGGGGATAAGAGATAACAATTACACCCATATGCATTCATAAACCTTCCCCAGCAAGATTCACCGATTCTATGCCACAAACTTTTATCATCCCT